AAAAAAAAAAAAAAAAAAAATTGCGTTCGCGTTCGCCAGTTTTTCAGGCCCGAACATGTTTGGGCGAACGTGTTCGAACGGCGTGCAATGCAGCCCAGAAGTCATATGAAGCTGGCTGCCCATCTGTTCAGCGGCCTTCTTCCACATCTCGCTGGGGAACCACACATCTCTATCACTAACGATTGTCTTTAACACGGTGGTCTCTGGCATGGCAACTAGTCTAGTGAACTTAGTAAACCTATCAACTATGACGAAGATGTGTCGCTTGCCGTTCTTGCTGGTCACGAGAGTATCCATGAAGTCCATGGAAATGCTCTGCCCTAGGCCAGCAGGAATGGGTAGAGGCTTAAGTAACCCAAGCGGAGCTTGAGTATGCGGCTTATCCCACTGACAGACGTGACAGGTCTGTACGTACTTCTTTGCATCGTCGAACATGTTAGGCCACCAGAATCGTTGTTCTAAATTAGCACTAGTCTTCTTGTAGCCGAATATCCTGTTGCGTCGTGACACTGATCTTCCTTGTAGGCTTCCCCCAAAGATCGAGTCACGTCCTCAGATAAGCCAAACGCAGAAATCAGCGCACCTAGTTAATTTGCCCTTCAAGACAACGCATCCGCAACCTTGTTGTACTCTCCCTTCACATAGTCTAGTTTGAAATCATACTGATCTATGACTTCAATTTAGCGTTTGAGTGCATCGGAAAAAAACTGGTTGGGTCTTGATCCACTTGAGGGTCTGATGGTCAGTTCTCAAGTAGAAGAACCTTCATTTCTTGTCCCTGAAATCTCCTCCCATTCCTATCCAACCAGATCACCCATATCATAGCCGCCCTGCAGACCTGTGCAAGAGAGTGTGCCTTGTAATACCCACAGTTTGTTTTGACACAGAACCAACCCTGACATCTTGTTCGAGTGGGAAAACCACCAGGTCCTCCATTTCTGGGACCGTGGACAAGCCCACCAAAGGTGAGTTATGGTTTCCACTGGCCAATTGCACCTGTCGCAGTGCATTCCGATTAACATTCCTCTTAAACTTAGCCACTTTGCTGTTGGTACTGACAGGTGAGATTGTAGCCATAACAAGGAGGCCGTTTTCTTAGATGGAATAGCTGCCAGCTGGCGCCAGAGGCGCTTCAGTTCGACTTATGATGGGGGTACCAGGCATGGCTGTGCTTTTCCCCAGGATTCCACCAACTTCTCTCCCAGCTTTACCCGATGCTGAGAGGCTATTTAGGTCACAGATACTATTCGTGTCTGTCTTTCATCCCCATGATTGAGAGTCGATCCTCAGTGCCCTCTTCGCGACTCCTCCTGCTACAAGTTTGTAAACAGTCGGTTCGCCTCTCCCTTGTTGTCTTACTTCCCTTACCCGAATTTCCTCCAGTCCTCCCCATATAGTGCTGGAATGATAAAGAGTTAAGATATCGTTGTGCTCCCTACTCCTAATGTACTTTTCTACTTCACACTTCCCTCCCTCGTCTGGGATCCACTGTTTCAGACACAAAAACTTTGGCATCTCCTGTCTTTCCACAGTTTTGAACCATGTCCCTGCAGGCTGCAGGGTTTAGACCTTCTGGTTCAATCAGAGTTTTCCAAGTTGTCGGAATTGCAGCAATTAACCTGGAAGTTGTCCTCTTGCAGTGGAAGTTGTCTCAACCTCGCAAGAGTTCAAACTGCTCAGTTTGACCATGTTGACTTGAACTACCATTGCTGCATGCGCATAGAGGGTTTTCACCCAGCTGCAAAAGGGGGCTTCAAGGCCTAGGACTCTGTGTCGTCATCACAAACGTCCAGTTCACTCTATCATAGACCTTTTCAAGGTCTATCATCAGAACTGAGATGTCCAGGTTATCCCTACCGATAATTTCCAAGGCTTCAACTGCTGTAAGGATATTATCGAATATAGACCATCCTTGAACGAACGCCCCCTGGTCTACCAGGAATTCAGATAGTTTTCCAATCTTCTAGCTAATGATTTCACTAGAATCTTGTAGATCACGTTTAGAAACGAAATTGGCCTCCAATTTTTAATGTTTGTTCGATCTCCTTTTTTGTACAGTAATGTGATGACTCCCCTGGTCATGGACTTTCCTAGCTGACCTCCTGATAGAATGTCGTTATATAGCTGCAATACGAGAGAAAGAATCCTACGGCCAGTCCGCCATCCTCTGGTGCCTTCCCTTTGGCCATCTCTTTGAGTGTTTCCCTCAGTTCTTCTGCTGAAACAGGTTTGTGCAAGCTCCTCTTGCCTTCCTCTAAAAGCCTAACTTCTATCGATTCCCACAACATTGATCCGGCCGCCACGTCTGTTTCCCAGTCCCAGAAGGACTTCCTTGTGGCCAGGATGTCTCTGAAGTAATCCGGCGCATATTCGCACCTTTCCTCATTTGACTGTGCTGTAGCCAGGCCCAACAGATGTGGATGTTGCAATTCCCTCATTGGTGTGAGCTTCTATCTCGGGAGCAATCTCTGAAAGCTATCCTTCGTTATATGATCGCTTGTGACGATCCCCTTTTCCCTCAGTATTTGGTCCCACCCGTTTTGTTTCTTGATTTGGAATTCTTCCCATGCCCTTAGCCTTTCAATTCTCTCCTCTGCCCAACTAAACTTTGAAATTGGGTGGTTCCTCATGTTCACTTCTGCCTCTTTCACCCTCGCTAGGTGTGTTCGCTCCTCCTTGTTTCTCAAGAATGTTGCAATCCTCGGAAACACCTGAAATTTCTGCGAGATTATTCTCAAGCTCGCATCCCAACAGTCTTCGAACGACTCGAAGTGTTCTCTTGTCTGTTTCCAATCCTGCCAGTGTTGTTTTATTCACTCCCCCCAACCTTCCTCTTCCAGGTTCGCTATGTCCAGCCTGAAGTGTCCTAGGCCCCACTCGTTCCTTCCTGACAATTTCACTTCCATTTGTATTGGCTTATGAACCGACATGGTGGCATTGCCTTCTTGTACCATCAATGCGTTGAGGGTGAAGATACCTGTTGTCAGAAAGAAGTCTGATCTTCTCTTGACTCCTGCTGACATTGACGCATAGGCGAACCATGCGAACCTTGATTCCAACGAATGCATTTCTCTATAAATATCGGTCAGCTCCCATCTGTCTTTCCAAGTCAGAAACACCTCCCTGTCTTGCTGCAGAGAATCTTCCACCTCTGAGTCAAGGCCTGGGCTACTTACCAAGTTCCAGTACTCTCCGATTACCATATGGTTTGTCTTAGGGAGCCAATACGGTAATGCCTTGATAAATCGCAATCTTTCTTAATGCCTTGATAAATCGCAATCTTTCTTTCGGCTCATTAGGAGCATATATTGTCACTACCACGCATTCTACCTCCTCTATCAATAGTTTAAGCCAAACCCATCTGCCCCAAGATCTGAGTCAAAATCTATGAGCTCTACTTCTAGACGTTTGTGGACTAGGATAGTCGTTTCCCTTTTGGTCCCTCTAGCTGGAGACCACAGTTGGGGGTCGTCCCACCAATCTGCAAGTTGAGTTAGCTTAGCTTCAGAGAGTTTGGTTTCCTAGAGCAAGATTACGTCTAGGTTTTGTTTGTGAATCCAGTGTTTCAGGTGTTTTCCCCTCTGCCTCCCTCCTGTCTCCCCCAGCCCTCTAACGTTCCATGTCCCTATCCTAATTCCCCCCATCCGGTGTTGCCTCCTCTGCGGTCACCTCTTGGATCCGCTCTTCCTTTGTGGGAATTTTTTCGACTCTCTCCTGTGAAGGGCTGGTGCACTGCCACTTCTCCGCCAGCACCTCCTGTACAAACCCCGATTCCAGATTCCAATCGAGGGGCATTTTCTCGTTGATAGCTCTCAAGAAGTAAGTTGCTACGCTTGGCTCCACCACCACGTTCTCTAGTTCTTCGTCATATTTTCCCAAAATAATCTCATTGGGACGCAGGTTAACCCAACTGCTCGTACCACCCTCCTATTCACAGACGACCTTACAGTACTAATCAGAGCAACAAAACTCCTCCTTTCAAGCCCCGATAAGAGCAATGCAAGCATTCCAACTAGCCTCAGAAATGGAAGTCAACTGGACCAAGACAATAGGCTGGTGGACCGCAGACACCCCCCCCCCCTACAGAATTAACCCCTCCAGGTCTTCAGTGGACAGATCCGAATTCACCAATCCGATTCCTGGGCATTAACCTCAACCTCAAAGGATGCCACCAGATTTCAGCAGCATCACTTTTGTCTTCAATGGTTAATAGGATGCACACCTGGAAAGCCACACCCACTTCCCTATTAGGCAGGGTGTTGGCGCTCAATAATTCCATCCTAGCAATGATGTGGTATTCTACCTCCATATGGTTCCCAGCCCCAGACTTCCAAAGTCAGTTGAGGAAAAAAACTGCGGCATTCCTATGGACGGGCAATTCGGACAAGGAACAGTTTATTCACAAGGTCGCCTGCTAGATAGTCACCAGCCCAAAAAGCAAAGGGGGCTTAGGTCTTATAGATCCAACGTGTCAAATACAGGCTTTACAAATCAAATGGGTCATAAGACTAGCCCTGCAAGACAATCTACACTGGACCCCATTAGCCCTAAACCACATCAGAGAACTCCCTCCCTTCACTTCTCCAACCAACATGACAGGCCTCTTCTGGATTTTCAACAAGTTCTGGCCACTTCCGAAAGGGAAACAGAGACGGTCCGACCAAACACTCCAGCGGAACACTAACGACACCCCCTAGACTAAATCTCTCTGGGAGCAAATTCTACATACCTGGAGAACCATCTTCCCAGAGATCAGAACAGCACCAAAGAAAAAAGACGAATTCCTTAGG